CCCCTAACCTGACTCTGATTCCAGTGTTGCCCTCCTCCACAAACATAAAGTGCCCACATGATCTTTTCAAACACAAATCTGATCACACCCTATTTTTTTTCCACACCCTATTTTTGCAAAAAATCCTTTAGTAGCTTCTCAGTGCTCTTAGAATAAAGCCCAAATCCTTAATGTGGCCTACAAGGCTGTACACGATCTATCTGGCCCCTGCTGACTTCTCCAACCTCACCTATCACAATTCTCTCACCTTTCTTACTTTCTACTCTCTACATTGGTCTTTTTTTCAGTTTTGTGAACACGTTCTACCCTTTTCTGCCTTAGAGCCTTTGCATATGTTGTTCCTACAGCCTGGAATCTCCACCCTCCAGGCAGGGTCACCTGACCAGTCTCAGTTTAATGTGACTTCCTTAGGCAACCTGTCCCTGTAACACACCACCTCCCACCCCCAACTCCTCATGTTAGATTAGGTCTTCATGAAATAAAATCTCATAGCACCCTGCCCTTCCCCTTCATAGCACACTCATCTTCAGTTAAAGTGGTTTGTTTTTATGTAGGCACATCTCTAACATATGTAGGGCCTGGGGCAAGAGTACAAATAGAGGCCCACAAACCTTGTGTTTAAATATTTAAAATGTATAACTCAAGCGAACAAACTGTTAAACAAAATATGTTTTATTCTTCTACCTTGAAAATATATACTTCATAATGGTCTGGAAGGCCAGGTTCAAATTTGGATTTTATTTGGAATCCTCAGGGTTCTGCACCAGAATGTTGGTGTTATATGGAGAGGCAGTTATGGCCACCGGATCTCAGCTGGGCCCACTGCTCTTCCCACCCTTGACACCATCTTGGACTGCAAGGGGCTTTGTGTGCAAACATGTGGACCTCCCGTCTGCCCATCCCAACTGTGTCCATAGCCAACTGCAAGCAGCCACCCCTTGGCCACCCTTTGGACCTCAGGATGTATGTATTAGCAGTGTGGTCTAGCCATGAGAGGGCAAAGCCAGGGAAGAGGTCCATGTGGGCCCTAGAAGTCGGCTTGGGCCCCTTGGGCAGGACAGTCCCAGATATCTGGAGTATGGTCTTCAGGAGACTGGGGTATGGGCAGAGGAGGGTTGGACTCCTCACCAGTGGGGTGGGACACAGCAAGAGGAGGGCCAGAGTGGAGCCTTCTAAAGCACAGGGCCCAGGGCAGGGGCCACTCTTGCCTGGGCCTAAGGGCAATCATTTGATGTTTCTCTATTTCATCAGTCTGTGAGCTCCATGAAGGCAGGGCTGGTGTCAGTCTAAGTTACTGAGGTATTCCTAATGCCTAGTGCAGAATAGGTGTTTAATACGTATATTAATGGTAAAGAAGCCAAATTCTGTGAAATAATTTAAAGAGGTTAATTCTGAGTCAAATTTGAGGACCATGACCCAGAGTCATGCCCAAGAATCCTTGAGCAAGTGGACTTGCTGCAGTTGGGTTACAGTTTGGTTTTATACATTTCAGGGAGACAGGGTAAAGTCATAAATCAATGCATGGAAGGCATACATTGGTTTGGCTTGAAAAGGTGGGCCATCTCAAAGTGGGGGATTTGCAGGTTATAGGTGGGTTTAAAGACTCTTTGACTTGTAATTGGTTAAAAAATGAGGCTTTGTGTAAAGGCTTGGAATGTTTTAAATTAAGATAAGGAAGTCTGTTAATCAGAGACAAGCTACTAGCCATATATTTGTTATATAAATTGAGGGCCTGTAGGTTTGTCTTATAGCCTTAGGCCTGACAATGAGTTATAAAGGATATCTACAAGAAGGGAGGGGACATGATGGGGCATGTCTGACCTCCCTTTCGTGGCTGGCAACTCAGTTTTAGGGTATCCTCTTGGCCAGGAGGGTGTCCATTCAGTCAGCTGGTGGGGGGGGAGCCTTAAAATTTTATCTTAGTTCACACATATTTGTCAGTGAATGTAGGAGGTACATCAGGAAGAGGTTTGAGGGATTTGGATCCATTACTGAAGATCTAGATACCAAGAGACAGAACTAGGAAGGAGAATTAGTCTTACAGGCTTCCAAAAATAGGGGTACAGGACAGAGCAGAGGGAGGTGGCATCCTAGAATGCTGACTCTGTCTCTTCTCCTCTCCTTCCTCTGCATTTCCCACCCCCTCCTGCAGGCCCTTTGGCTTCCTGGCCCTCTTTCCTTGTGGTCCAATATCCCTCTGTCCATATCTTCCTACCTTTCTGTCCTTTGGCCACTGCTCTTCCTCTGCAGCTAACTATGTGTCTGTTCCCCTGCATTAGTTTCTAGTTCTTGGTTCCCAATCTTACTTCCCTCTGTCCCTATCTTCTACCACTTTTGTTCTTTTGGTCCCTTTCTCCTCTCCACCTCTCCTGCTATCCCTTACTCCCTTCTTGGTCCCCTCCTGGAAAACTTATCTTTCTTTAGTTCCTCATGACCCTTTGCTCATCTCTTCAATGTGCCCGCATCCCTCTTTCCCTTTAATCCAGATCCCTGTGGAACCTCTGACTTGTCCTGCCCTCTATCCTAGCTTCCCTTCCTCTGTTCTGTCATTCCTGGAGACCACCCTGGCTTCATCTTTTTCATCCTAATTTCCCTGTCCTCAGATGTCCTTGAGCCAGTCAGTCTCAATATTTATTTCCCAATCTCCAAGTAACCCCTTGGGAAGGGCTCCACTTCCAGGGTCCCCACTGGCTGCCTCAGCCTCTCCCCTCTGTCCTCTTGGTCCTTTCCTCTGGGCCGGCCTGAGTCCGGCCTCACTCCCCTGACTCCTTTCCCTGGTTAATGGTGCCTGGTCTGAGCCCCTAGCAGCTCAACTCGCCTGAGCTTGTTTAGTCTGACTGCCTTAGCCCGTTAGCAGCTTAGCCCTCCCACCTCCTTTGAGCCCTCCGGTAAACAAGAGGATCAGAGCAGATCTGACAGCTGCTGGATGGGGGCAAGTGTCTGGCCAGGCCAGAGTGTGCATGAAAAAGGGCCTGCATTCAACACTTCCCATTCCTTCCTCAACCAGGGAAATTCTAGCATCTCTTTCCTGAGTGTCTACCTTAGAGCTACAGTCCACAGACTCGTGCGTGGTTCCCTGTCTCCGTGATCCCTGTTCCTGTTTTGTGGTTGGTTCCCAGGCCTTAGGCTTTTTGATTATTCTGAGAAATCAGCACTAGATCAGGCAATCACACACAGAAGCCTTTTTATTTGAATGATGATGATGGTCACTGCTCCATAAAACAAAGGCCCGCGTATGAGAAGAGAGTGATGTCATCTGATCTAGGTCTTCTAATATGCATGTAGAGAGCTTGGTAGGAGACAAAACACACACACACATACACACACACACACCAAGGGAAGCTGGGTTGACTATAGACACTCTGTAGACTAGGGTTCTTAAACTTTTGTGCACATCAGAATTGCCTGGAGGGTCTGTTAAAAATACATATTTCTGGGTTGCACCCCCAGAGTTTCTGATTCAGTAGGTTTTTTAAAATTTTTTTTGAGACACAGTTTTACTCTGTTGCCCAGGCTAGAGTGCCATGGTGTCAGCCTAGCTCACAGCAACCTCAAACTCCTGGGCTCAAGCAATCCTTCTGCCTCAGCCTCCCAAGTAGCTGGGAATACAGGCATGCACCACCATGCCTGGCTAATTTTTTTTTCTATATATTTTTAATTGTTCAGCTAATTTCTTTCTATTTTTAGTAGAGACGGGGGGTCTCGAACTCCTGAGCTCAAATGATCCACCCGCCTCTGCCTCCCAGAGTGCTAGGATTACAGGCATGAGCCCCCGCGCCTGGCCTGATTCAGTAGGTTTCACTTGAGACCACAGAAATTGTGTTTCTAACAAGTTCCCAGGTGATACAGATGCTGCTCCTCTGAGGATCCCAATTTGAAAACCACTATCTCAGATCATCTGCATCTGTCAGCTCTTCCCTAACACCTAAGGCTGGGAGGTATTTTTTATAACTGATGACCCTTGGGGCTGACAGACACACATGTCTCTCTCTGGGTTGGGAAAGAGGACCCTTAACCCCATGGGAATATTTAAGTGTCCTCAGAAGATAGGAAATAGCCTTTAACTCCTGGAGTCTATTCTAGTACAGACCCTATTTAAACAGCTTCGGACAGGTTTAAACATCTCCTTGGCTAATTCCTAGTATCCCTGTTCCAACTTCTACTCGGGGATGATAGCTCTAAGAGGTGTTAGGGGATTAGGCTGGAAATGTAGGTCACCCTCCAGCCGTCTGGGAACTAGAACGAGTGAGTGAGGAGGAGAGAGGGGCAGAGACACACACAGGGAAAAGGTGAGGGCGTGTGAGGGCAGTTACACAAGTGTCTCTGATGGATGGGTGGTGACTAGATTTCAGTGTTCCTTAGTGGCCTGGAAGGAAGGAGTAGAGTTCCCTGTTCTCTCTTCTCCTTCTCCCAAGCTGGTCTGCCTGTCCTGGCGCAAAAGTGGGAGAGGCTGAGGATAGGATGGCCCAGTCCTGGAGATTCTCCCTGGGGAAAGTTGCTTTTCTTTCTGATGTGATGGCTAAGAGGGGCATAAAGCCAGTGAGGGTGAAGGTGGGGCGAGGGCAGAAATGTGAGCATTCTTAAAAACAGAAAGAGACTCCACTGTCCAGATGAGAGTGGGTTCAGGAGAGCTTGTACTCCCCAAAGACACTGATGAGGGGCTTCGGAAGGTGAGGGTGCTGGGAGTTTGCCTGGCCCAGGCCCAGGCTTCAAGTGGCAGAGGGCTGAGCATTGTGTTCACTTGGAGGGGTGCTGGTTGGGGTCCATGTGGCCCTCCACACTGGGGAGCCAGGAGTCAGATCAATGAGGAGCTTTGCTGCGGAAGACACCCCTTTCCTTCTTTGAATAAGGCATACTTGTCCTCTCCATGCCCTCAACCCCCGGGCCAGTGAGATATGCAAATGATCCCCTTACCTCATTGGTTGGAGGCCTGAGGACCACAGATGACCTCAGAGAGCTGGCCCTTTAAGAGTGCTCTTTGGGCTCTGTGCCCACAGCCCCCTTGTTCTGAGCGCAGAGGCACCAAGCCCTGTTCCATGGAGCCTCCAGTCTCTGGGGAAGTTGTGCCTGACTGGCTCTGGCACTGACCGCATCATCTCTGCCTTCCCTAAAGTGAGTATGTCCAGGGCCCACCTGGCTGCCAGGCCTCTCACCTAGAGTCCTCTTCTCCAGCACCTGCTGTCTGCTCTCTGTTGTCTGTTTTCAGCAATCCTCACACTCTGCACCCTGTCCCACTCCCACCCTCACTGGCCTATGTCCCCTCGCTGCTATCACATCAGAAAGGTGAGCAACTGTCCCACTTACCTTTCCCTGTACATCCAGTTCTCTCTGGATGTCTCGGTGTCTCACAGTCTCCTCCTGCCAAGAACCAGTTCCTTCAATCCGTACCTTTGTTTCCATCCCTTCTGCCCTCTCAAAGGCCAGGGGCTCCATAGAGAGGACAGCAACCCTTCCTTGGGACAGGAAGAGAGAGGCCTGGGGGTCTGAGACGTGGTTGGAAGGAGGGCTACCTAGGCTTGGGCATTCAGATGGAGCCAAAGTCTAAGCCCTGGGGCTGGACCCTCCCTGCCTTGCCCCTTTTGGGAGGTGGGGGTGGAGCTGTTGGAATTGGGAGCTGGGTGAGAGCTTGGGACTTTCGGAAGGGTCTCAGGTCATCTCAGAGGTTCCTCAGGTAAACACATGCCACACAGTTGCTAACAGCAAGGAGAGTTCCTTGGTGACACAAGTTTGGGACACTCTGTGTTGAAGTTGAATAGGTGGTTTACTGAAGGACTTCTTGGATTAAATATGCTCTTGTGCTTTGTGAATCTGCAAGAGGTGGGGCAACATTTTTCAAAATTATCTTTGTGCGTATTTCTCAGAATTAGTGTTCCATAGAACACTGTTTGTGAAATGTTATAAAGCCTGACTGAACAGAGGGAAAATGGGTCAGAAAGGTAAAGGTGATCTGCTCAAGTTCACATAACATAGTAAGTTCTGAATGGAAGGAGGGAAATTAATCTTGGAGAGATTGGCCTTGAGTATGGATGGTGACCACTCAGTCCTGATCTTTTTAAAACTAATTCTAGAATCTTTCTTTTTTCCTTATAAAGTCTCTTGCTCATATAAAAGAGATTCATTGATTGATTAATCCATAGAATAAATGCACACTGAAGACAGCACCTTCTATATGCAGGGTACTGTCCTCAGTGCTTTGAGAGGTAGAGAGGTACAACAGCACATTATTGTTACATCTTAAAATTCACATGCCTTCCCACTGTCCTAAAATATACACATACTCTGTCACAGTTAATTAAGCCATTTTTTTTAATTGCTTGGAAATGGAATGATGCCTCCTGAGATGACAGAGCCTCTCAGCATGTCTCAGCACTAGGTTGGGAGCACTGCCGTTATTGCTCTTGTTTTTCATAGATTCCAGAGGCACCAATGGGGCAAGAGGCCCTTCAGGCCATCAGCTGCTTGTCCCCTATCAGGAGCCCCTGCCACCTGAAAGGGTACCCTCAGCCTGGAGGTGACTATGCAGGAAACAGGGCTGCACCATCACTCTGACTTTCCAGAACTCTGGCTCCAGGGCACTTGGGCTTTGGGGGAAGAGGGACTTGGAGAAGGGGGATGGCAGGCAGCCTCTGTGTGCTCCAGACCACTCCTCTTTTTTGCAGGTGCACTCCTCCCAGCCCAGCCCCAGAATGGCCCTACCCCCTAGCCCCCTGGCCATGGAATATGTCAATGACTTTGACTTGATGAAGTTTGAGGTAAAGCGGGAGCCCTCTGAGGGGCGGTCTGGCCCCCCCACGGCCTCACTGGGCTCCACACCTTACAGCTCAGTGCCTCCTTCACCCACCTTCAGTGAACCAGGCATGATGGGGGCCACAGAGGGCCCCCGGCCAGGCCTGGAGGAGCTGTACTGGCTGGCAACCCTGCAGCAGCAGCTGGGCGCTGGGGAGGCTCTGGGACTGAGTCCTGAAGAGGCGGTGGAGCTGCTGCAGGCTCAGGGCCCAGGCCCTGTTGAGGAGCCCCACGGCTACTACCCAGGGAGCCCCGAGGAGGCAGGAGCCCAGCATGCCCAGGTGAGTGATCAGCAAGCTGGCCTGAGTGACAGCCCAAGAGAGGAAGGAGAGTTCATGGAGAGGCTTATGGACTGGAGAAAAAGAAGGGAAGGAGGGCCCTTGAAAAAAATCAGAGAAAACTAAATTCTGCTCCCTTTCTTTCAAAATGGAGAGAAATGAATAGGCTGAACCAGGAGGAACAGGGAGAAGATAGAAGAGGACCCAAAGAGGAAGGGTTGAGTTGGGGAACAGGCGATTACAGGGGATAAATAGATACCCCGTGTGGAAACCGGGGAAAAGGTGGTGTGCAGAATGGAGCAGGGTGAAGACGGTGGTTCAGGTTGGTTTTTTCAAGACTTTGTGTTTCCCCAGTCCCCAACCTTCTCAGGAAGATCGGGACACATCCTATTAATTATAGACACAGACGGGGGTGTTGAGGGCATTAGGATGTAATCCAAATCCTTTGAGGGTCACAGGGTTGTGGCCTTCAGGACTGGGAGACGTGGCACGTTGGAGGGGCGGGGTCTGTCTGGGCGCGGGTCCGCTGGGCACACCCCGCCTGGAGCCGGATGCGGCAGTCCGCGGAGCGGGGGGCGCGGGGTTCAGGTGCGCGATTGGCTCACCTGACCGTGGGAGGCAGGACCTGCACCGTGGGGCGGGCCTTAAGGCTAGAGTCTGGTGGCAAGGGCCAGCGGGGGCGTGGGAGGGCAGGGCGAGTCGGGGCCTGGGGCGGGGTCTGGACTGCGCTTCGGTAGAAGGACAAGCATTCTGGTAAAGGTGGGAGCCGGCGGCGGAGCTTTCCCGAGAGCCGGGCCGGGTGGCGCGGAGACCTCAGTGTGGAGCCGAGTGAGACCCGGCGCTGACCCGGCCCCTGCATTCTCCTTCCGCAGCTGGCCGAGCGGTTTTCGGACGCGGCGCTGGTCTCGATGTCTGTGAGGGAGCTAAACCGGCAGCTGCGGGGCTGCGGGCGCGACGAGGCGCTGCGGCTGAAGCAGAGGCGCCGCACGCTGAAGAACCGCGGTTACGCTCAGGCCTGTCGCTCCAAGCGACTGCAGCAGCGGCGCGGGCTGGAGGCCGAGCGCGCCCGCCTGGCCGCCCAGCTGGACGCGCTGCGGGCCGAAGTGGCCCGCCTGGCACGGGAGCGCGACCTCTACAAGGCTCGCTGTGACCGGCTGACCTCCAGCTGCCCAGGGTCCGGGGACCACGCCCACCTCTTCCTCTGAGCCGCTCCGGGCGCGGGGTGGTGTAGGAGGTGGGCGGGTGAGTGGGGCGCACCACCCAGGAGGCGGCTGCGCTGTTCATTGGATCATTACCGAGAGCCTTCTGGTCCCAGACACTCCCTGTATGACCACACAAATACCCCAGATTTCCTGGACCCTCAAGGCATGCCCGAGTTTAGATGCTGGTCATTTTCTGGTAGAGGGATTCCCTCCTCTGGCTCAGACCGTCCACAGAAACCCAGCCCACAGGACTAGCACACTGAGCTCTGCAAGTGGAAGTGTGGTGACCCAGTGAATGGGAGGTGGTGGAGGGGTGCGCCTCCCCTCTCGGTTTAGTTTTTAATTCAGGATTTTCAACCTGTAACGCATTAAGGCTGTAATTAGCAATGAGACTGTATTTTCATTCTGAGGCTTGTAACTTCCCCATTTTAGGACTACTGCATTTTCAAGATTTCAATACCCAGTAGCTAGCCAGACTAGGAACTCTGTCCAAAATGCTTTTTCTCTGCCCAACCCAGTGGCATTCAGGGCACAGATCAGCAAAGGCCTGAGGGTGGGTGGTATGGGTTGGGAGAGAGCCCTGGGCAGGAGTTTGGAGACCTGGTGCTAGTCCCAGCTCTTCCATGGGATCCCTCTGTCACCTTGAGCAAATCGATTGCTTCCTGGGCCTCAATTACTTTATCTAATCCTCATTTGGATTGGATTACTTCTGACACCTTTCGAGTTCCGGCATTTCCCCAGTGCGGGAGTCCTAATGGTCTCCCCAAGAAGTCCCCAAGATGACCTCACCAAAGGGACAGCCTGGGCAGTGGCTGAGCAGCCCAGGGGAGGAAGCTTGGCTTCTCTATGAGCACACACTGGTCCCTGCTGCTCTCTCCAGGCTGCTTCAGCCTCCAGACCTGCATAGGGTGCCCTTGCTACCTCCTGCCTCTCTGCAAGCTGAGGCGAGACTTTTCCCGGGGTGGCAAGGAGCTGAGAGAGTGCAGCTTTTGTGAATTAAACTTGAAGTCCAGGCGGAACTCTAATGCTATTGGCTAAATGTTCTTGCAATTTAAGAGTGTTCATTCTTTATCCCTGCTTCAGGCTACTGTTTTGTGTGTATGTGGGAGAGGGAGAGAGAGAGAAACTGGGAAGTCCCCACCTGGAGCTGAGTGGCACATCTCAGTTCTGGAGAGCCAATAGAAATGGGGTGGAGGGGTGGGCATTAAGCCAGATGGATCCTCTCCCTCCCACCACCACCACCAAGCCCAGGAGCTGCAGAGGCCCAGCTAGGCCTGCCTGTGGCTGTCCTGGTCTCACAGTTGCCATGGTAACCCAGGCCTCCAGTTCAGCAGCCTAACAGGAGGGCTGGTGGGGCCTCTGGGCAGAGCACAGGCATTGAGCTGGGAGCAGCCACCTCACCAGTCACTGTAGTCTGATCTCTAAGGGACACAATAAATGGGAGAAGTGGTCCGTCAGGCATGGGGGAAGAGGCTCCCATATGTCTCTCTTCCTTTCTGCCCCCTCGATCCACCTCCTCCCCAGCTGTCTTTTCTCTTCCCATCACAGTACTTACTCCCTCCTCCCCCTTCTCTAGCCCAGCTCCTCCCTCCTCCACTTAGGAGCCTGCAATGGGAGTCCTATTTGCCACCCCCCTCCAAATTTCTCTCTTCTCTTCTCCCTTCCCCACCCCACCATTGGCCACTGGTTGTCCTCTCTGGTTCTGGATCCTCTTGGCACTGCGAGCCTCTTCTCCTTTGTCCCCTTCCACACTCATTGTTGAAGAGAGGGTCCCTCCAGGAGCCCAGCTTTCCCCCCCCCTCACTGAATTTCACCTGTGTTTGTCCTCACCTGCTTTCTGGAGCTGCAATCCAGACCCACTACTGTTCCCGCTCACCTTTCTTACCTTCACAGCACACAAGGGCAGAGATACCCATCCACAGGTGCCTGTGTACACAATTAGGCCACATACACAGTACGCACACCTGGGTCTCAAGATGATACAACTGGGTCACATGGAAATACCTCCGAAAAAAATTGCAAACTGTAGTGATTAAGAGTGTGGATGCTTTAGTCAGATGGGTATGGGCTCAAGTTTCAGTTATCAGCTTTTTGAGCATGAGCAAGTTAAATCAAGCCTCATTTGTTTGTCAGAAAAATGGGGAAAATAATGGTAACTACCTAGTGAGAATGAATGCATTTAACAAAGCACTTAGCAGAAAGTAAGATACTAAATAATAATCTTTGCTGTTGTTGAAGGTAGAGTATGTAGCTGGACTTTTTGAACCATTAAGGCCACATGCATGGAGAGTCAGGGATGTGTAGCACATGAACACACACATTCACACTCAGGAAACCAAGCTATACAGGCCTTAGATGCCCCTTCTATTCTCCCAATTCAGTGGCAGACGTGCTGCCTCTTCAGTCCCCCCAACACCCTCTCCTGGCCCGCCCCACAGCTGTGTGGGGGCTGGGGTTCAGCCTCCAGGGAACTCAGCAGGGCCTCTCTGTAAACAGCTGTAAGAGGGCATCAGCCTACCCCCTCGACAACCCTTTATTATTTCCCTATGTCCTGTAATTAACCCCCATGATGCCTGGACCCCCGGGCTGGGAGATGAGGGTGGGGGCAACTCAGACCCCACTGGCACACAGTTGGGATAAGACAGCAGAGATGGCGGCCTGCCTGGGGAGTCGCTCGGATTTTGGAAGGCAGCTATGCTCACCACTATACCACCAACACCACACTGGGTTCAGATTTTGAAAGGTGCTGGTCCTACTCATTTCTTGTGCATGTCGGTTACTGTGGACTGCCTAGTGAGCATCTGAGGCATGACGGATAGAGGCTGAGGTGCTAGGAGCAATTCTCTTTATTAATGGCCAGAAAGTCAGGATCACCAAAGGAAGTCACTGAGGGGCCACAGGGTTGAGAGGTATGGGGCTTGGAGAGATGGGGGCAGGCCCCACCACTCACTTCCAGGACCCAAGGGGCGCAGCTGGTCCAAGAGGTGGAGGCATTGGTCAGGCGAGTCACAAGGTTCAGGACAGGCACCTGGGAGAGGGTGTGAGAGTGGTAAGCACCCTGCTACACCACGCCCAGCCATGGTGGACTCCACCAAGCCCCACTTTGCACCCTTTGGTTTCCATCTCTTTGGGTCCCCGGGACTCACTGAGAGGCTGAGGGAGTGTCGGTCCGGAGGGGGCAGTCACGGGCTAGAGCAGGGGGTCGTGGCCGGGGTGCAGGGCCTGGGAGCCCCGGGGCTGATGCCCTGGCTGGCGTAGTACTCCACCACCTGCCTCGGCACCTCCGCGAGGACACACTTAGCTAGCGCAGAAGGGGCGGCCTGGGCATGGGGACCGGGACACCGTGGTTAGGGGAGGAGGACTGGAGGAGGCAGGGTCAGGTGAGGGAGGGGTGGAGCTTCAGGGTGGCCAGCTGGGCTCCAGCGTCCTTCTCAGGACATCAGCGGGTGGAAGAGACAAGGCCGATGTGGGGGCATGAGGAGCTGAGGAAGGGGCACTGGGCACTCACATCCTTGAAGTCTCGGAAGGGCACAAACTGGACGATGTCGCGGGCCGCAGGCACCCCTCGGGGGCAGCGCAAGGGACCGTCGTCGCCATCCAGCAGCCGCATGTCGGAGAAGTCGGCATTGCCCACGCCCACAATGATGATGGACATGGGCAGGCGCGAGGCGCGCACAATGGCGGCGCGTGTCTCGGCCATGTCGCTGACCACGCCGTCCGTGAGCACCAGCAGCACTGAGTACTTCTGAGGGCAAGCAGAGGGGGAGGAAGGGTTGACTCTGTGCGAGAGCGTGACACCAAAGCCCGGCCCCGGCGTGGGCACCACCCGAGGACACGCGGGCAGCTCCCGGTTGCCTGCTGCGTCTCCTCACCGTGGCTTGGCCGGTGCTCTGCTCCCGCTGGGCAGGCTCAGCCACGCGGTTGATGATGGGGGCCACGTTGGTGGGGCCGTAGAGCTGGATCTGGGGCAGGCAACGGCGGTAGGAGGCGATGACCCCCGAGATCTCTGTGGGCAAAGAGGAGAGGTGAAACCGGCAGAGATTGGGGGGTCCCTCCAGACACTCTTTAAAGCAAGGAGGTGCTTCCAGGTCTTAGGACTGTCCCCCTACCCCCCAAGTTCCTCACTAAGCAGAGGGAGAGTTGGGTGGGCAGATGCTGGGCCCTGGGGCTGGAAGTCTTACCAAATGAGACAGGCCTTGGATGGGTGGGAGGGACAGGGAGCTGGGCCTGTATGGGATGTAGGGCATGTGCAGCAGGCGTGTGCATGGGGGCCCCCAGAGGCTGGCGGGGATCTCCCCTCTTACCTTCACATTCAGGATTTTCCGGGTCAAAGTTGATAGCAAAGTCGTGGGACACCTGTGTGGGTAAGGTGAGAGCAGTAAGGGGATGTCTTTTCTTCCTGTCCAATGTGCCCACCATCTCCTCCCTTCCCTTGCAGCCAGCCTACCTCGAAGTTGGGAGGTATTCGAGCCCCAAAGCCAAAAGCTGGAAATCGCTTATCACTGGGGAGAAAAAAAGGCTGTGGGGTCCCTCGGGCAAGGCCTCCTTGCCTGTCCCCCCTCCAACCTCCTCCTACCTGTCATAGTCCTGGCAGATGCCTCCAACTGCACGCAGGGCCTGCAGGTAGTGGTTGGGTTGTCGGGGGCTGAGGCAGTGTAGGGACTGGCTGCTCCTCGGGTCCCCATTGGAGGCAGTGAAGTCGATGGCCACCTGGTGGGGGTGGGAGTGGGGTAGGAAAGGGTCATGCTGCAGCCATGAGAGCCCACAGGGAGGCTAGGCTGGGGCCAGGTCTGTAGGGAGGACTGAGATGATTCTGGGGAACCCAGAGGCAGCCTCATGGTGGGGTAGGGTGGGGCAGGGCGAAGGGTATGAGCTGGCAGTGCTGAGGCTCCTGAGAAGCCCGAGGGAGGTGATGGGGATTCTGGGCTCCTCCTATTCCCTGCGCCCCTCCCTCTTGCCTGTGCCCCCATCCCCTGGGCCTTTACCGTGAAGCTGATCTGGCAGCCACCCATGATGTAATCCAGGAAGGTGTGCACCTTCTCCACCTGGCGGTAGGGGGAGGGGTAAAGTGAGTGGATAGGGTGGTCCTCTGAGGAAGGAGCTTAGGTAGGGCCTCTGTGGGGAAAGTGGGGGGACCAGAGTTTTGGAGGGTGCAGTTGGGGGTGAGCTAGGCAAGGGTTTGCAGTTCCCAGAAGCAGAGAAATACATCTTTGAAACAAGGGAAAGATTGAATCTGAGATTGTGGTAGGGGCAGGGGCAGGGGCAGGGGCAGGAACTGGAATTTACCGTGCACTGGGCCAGCACTACTGTCCCTGAGCTCTTGTAATTCTTCTTCTTGTCCCGGTACTTGGGGTTGATACAGTCCCACTGCATCTAGACCCCGCCCG